AAAGACTTTGTTGTGCAGGAATTTGTAGTCTTTGCCGAACCTCTTTCTCCAAGCTCATTTGTGTCGCTTTCCACCGCCTCTCCATGTAAAAGCTCAAGAGCTTGCACGAGGCACCAAACAGTTCTAGATTGCTTGACGACGCAGTTGCAAGTACAACCATAGAGCCCAACCAACCTGCCTAAATCAAAGCCCAGCTACAGCTGTTTCTCAGAAAAGCCATCCTGGTGCCGGTCGACAGCACTGGCCGCTGCCAATGTGATTTGTCTGCTTCAGCACACCTGAGGCTAGTGGCGCAGCTTTCTCACAATCACGGGCGGCAGCGGCTGGTTGCAGCTGCTTTTGCCCGACTGGCTGATCCTCGCACGGATCGCTGCCCGACAGCCAGGCGGAAGCCCCCAAACAAAGAGAACCCACGGAGAGGGGGCCCTTTGCAGAGCCCCAAAACGGGTACCATCCCAACACGAGCAGCTGGCCAACTAGCTGATAGCCTGCATCAATTATGGCAAGCCAGCCAGCCCGCCAATCTGCCTTTCCCCTAGCCTGCACATGTCCAAACTGTACAAACTTCTTGATATCTTAGCTGACTTTCACACAATTTTTGTGGAGATCAGAGCCAGGACACCTTCCACTAGTTGTGGGCTTCACCTTGAATTGAAGTCCTACATTTGCCTTTTGGAAGAAGCCTCATGTGTTATGACTCATGCATTGCTCTCTCACCGCGCCCCACTGTGACTTCCACGTGTTGCCTGTTTTGTTGTTGGCCGAGTGACCTTTGGTCTGGTCAAGGCCTCAGATTCTGAACGACTTTGGCACAAAGCGTCGATGTTGCAGGAGAATGCCCACGAAGTTGAATTTGCAGGGCATCGGTTCCCGGAGTCCTGGAGTTTCTCCTGCACTCCTCCTTCATTCACACGTTGCTTCTTTGCAACCGAGGCTTCGTGGCTTTGCTGGCTCCGGCGTTGCGGCACAGGCTGCCCAAGGTGCGCCTGGCCGCTTCGGCCATCCTTTGCCAACTCAGCACTGAGCAGGGGCCTGCAGCGCTCCAAGTGGCCGTGCAGGCGGGCGATGGCGCTGGGTCTGCGTAGGCTGTTTTGAAGGGGGTCGCTGCGGTCCAGTGAGTTTTTCCTGAGGTAGCCAAAACCCACGAAAACCATTGGGATCCCTTTGATTTCGGCTCAAGGGCCAGCTTTGAAAGGCAGATCCTTGGAAACTGCCTGGGGCACAGCCCAAGTCGTGGCCACCCGTAGTTTTTGCAAGCCGTGTTCGAACGACGTTTAAGCCAACATTTGCCAACTCAAAATCAGGTTTTGCTTCATAGTGGGGATGGCCACAGGCCCGTTTGAGATCACTCAAGCAAGGATCACATGGATGTCCCTTGGAGGGAAGAGAGAAGACAAGCACGTCCACACACACACACACGCACGCACGCACGCACGCACACACGCACACTCGCACACATGCACACATGCACACACCCACACACAGGTGCCATCTAGCGTTCCCACCACTTCATCCGCACAAGACCGAGCCCACATGGCGCAAGTGATGGTTCTGGTGTACTCTACAGTATTGGCAGTGAGAGCTACTTTAGATCTAGCCTTGCAGCGGCGCGCCGATGTGTATCAGCGTAGGGCCTTTGTTCATGCTTGGATGTTTCAGCGGATTTGCAAGTTGTACGAGTTTCCTTTGACCGAAGAAGAGCCCAAGGATTTTGCCATGTAGGTAGCACAGTCTTCAAGCGGTCCAAGCCACACGAGGACTGCGGATGAGCAATACCGCCAGACGATTAATATTCCCGTTTCGGAGCAGCTCCTTTACCTTTCCGGGCACCCCCAAAGAATTCCATTTCCTAGACTGGGGCTTGGCAAAGATCTTGGGGCCCTGATTTCAGGAGCAACACCATGCGCCCTGTGTGCCCCCCAGTACCCCAGCAAATGTGAATACATGTCCTTGATGTGCCCATCATCTTCCCAGCCACATGGAACCCACAAGAAGGTTGTTTCAAACACCCATTAAAGTTTTTTGTAAAGACCTCCTGTCCAGTTCCAGTTTGGTGGGCGGGCAACGGCCAATACGTGGGGAGCCTCGGAGGTTTTGGCGGAGGGTCCGCCGGAGGCAAAGGACACAAGTTTCCGGGCGCTGGCGGCCATTTTGGAGGGGTCCAAGAAGGCTGGAAGAGAAAAGCTTCGAAGTGGCACATCCGTTTTCGAACGTGTCTTCATGCGTTTGAGGGGGTTTGTTTGAGGTTGCCCGTGGACGCCTGCAATGCTGGCTTGATTTGGGGTGGTCTGGGGCGGCTTGGGGTAGGGTTCCAAGCATTCTGCCAATGCACGGGGCGGTTAGGTTCCGCCGATGCAGGGCGGTCCGAGGAGGGTTCGGCCAGGAGGGTTTTGGGGATGCATGGGGGCCTTCGGCTTCTACACTTGTGGCGACGCGCAAGCTGCCTTCTGGGAGCTATGGAGCAATCACTCTGAGCTCAGGCGCTGGACTTGAACGTTGCCCTGCCCTTCGCCAAGCTGCGCCCTCGCGCCGCTTTGGCGCTAGCACGGCGCATGGGCTCCGGCGATGCCAGCGTCTCAGATGGCCGGGGCGTGAAAGCATCAGAAATCCGGCACGCCCAAAGGAACACAAGAGGCGTGGGCGCATATTATGTTACGTACAATCATATATATATATATGTGTGTGTATACACATGTTATCCCGGGAGGAATCAAGTAGATGGGTTGGTCAACCACTCGTTATGGTTTACTTTGAGAAACAAGAAGGCAAGGGGCCTCGAGTGGCCACGTGTTCACATTGGGCGCAATGGTTCCATACAATCAACCTTTGGCTTAAAATAGGCGCCTTCTCAAAGTGGTTGGCTTCCTGTTGGTCCCCCCTGACAAAAACGAATCAAAATGAGGGCTTCCCGTTTCGGGACGTTAATGTCCCGCAAGGGAATTGATGACTGTGCATTTGTAGGGCTCTATTTAATGGGCAGGTTGTGGGCTGCCACGCTTGGGCGATTGAATGGTGGGGCGGTTGAGTTGGCTCACTTCTGTTGGTCTGCTAGGACCGTGGTTGACATTGCACGGGCGTTACACAAGGGAAGGACTCGTTTCACGCCGCTATCCCCCTGATTTGATACTTGTAGTGGCAAGCCTTCAAGCTCAGCCGGCGGGTTCCGACTGTAGACTGCTGAAGCAACTATAGGCAGCTTTCACACCTCAAGCTTCAGAAAGTGGGGAGGCAACCAAAAAACCGTGAAGCGTTCTTGCTCCGCGTCCCAATTGAAGGCGGGGTTGCACATGTTGCATCCACTTAATGTGAGTGCACTGGCTCGCACCATTTGTTTTGAGATTGCGTGTTTTCCTGCATGGTAATGATATGTCATGACTTGCTGAGAGCTTGACTTGTTGGCAGCTTGATCTATGACTAACCCAGCCTAAGGAGCTGGTGAGACACGAGGAGTTCGTGGAGGCCTTGGTGTCCATGCTCTTCGCTGGGCCGGTGGCACGCCGCTACGCCACCCAGGCCCTGCAATTGGCTTCCGCCGGGCCTTCAGAAGGCGGCGCCCGCGCAGTGAGAGCAGCCCGGCGCCATGCAAATGGATTCACCAGCTGAAACACATGTCCGGCTTAACAGAGACACACAAACGAGGGTCAAGGCATGTAGCCACAGTCAAACAGATTTCCGGCAGTTTGACTTGTAAGTGCTGGCAATCCATTGCTTGCCCACGGAAAGCACCGAGGCACCAATTGCCAGACACACGCAAGTGTTCCAGCATTATCCGAGGCGGTGGCACGACTATTGCAGCATCACAGGTGGCAGGTGCGCTGGAGCGCAGTGGCAGTACTCCTGGCAGCACCTCGCACGCGGCATGTCACCAAGGCCGTGAAGGACGTCGCAGCTGCAAGCCCCCAGCGCTTCGTACGGGACGTTGCGGAGTACGTTTTGCGGAAAGAAGATGACCGTAGCCTCTGCCAGCAGGTGAATCGTCTTGCTGCTGAAGATGAAAATGTCCAGAAGCGACCGAGGGTGAAGGCGGAGCGCAAGCGCAAGTTCGCTAGGCTCGTGCCCGGAAGGAGCCACACACTTCACTTGGACTAGTCGACCGGCACATCTTGCACTCAGTGAGAGGGCCCTGGGAAATGATCGAGCATCCTCCATTCTGAGCACTCCGATCAACTCCCTCCTGGCCTCGAAGGCGAGGCTGCCGGGTGTGCTTTCTCAGTGGTGCTGAACTGCGGGAAATGCGAAGTTTCGCATCTAAAGTAATTCAAGAAGCCTCCCAGTCCTGGGTTTTGCCACCATGATTTGCGAGCCTACCAGGTAGCAAGAGGAATCGCATGAGATGCCCCAGGGCCAAACAGCAAGCACCAAAAGCCACAGTTGCACGAACGAACAACCAAAGGCTAGAACTTCGCTTTGAGTGGAAACCAGTCGAGATACCCGCACTCCTTTGCAATAATTGCACGCTGGCAGTGATGACAACAACTCATTGCGGGTATAGCATCATGACTTTGCATTTTGACACTTAAGGGAATCGGCAAGACGTAGGGGTCTCATAAGAGGACACCTCCCAAGAACTGCAACCTTGCATCTTTGGCTCAAGAAATAGCGCGATCGAATTTCTTAAAAGGTCCCGGCGGGTGTTTGACTTTTGCAACCTCCTTAGCTTGTGAGAGGGATAGGATCAGGTCCGTCTCGTGCGCCATAGCCGTCACTTGACATTGCCTATCTTGCGCATACAAGCCATCGTACAGGCCAACAACTTCCTTTTCTTTTGGTACAATCGAGCTTGTCCCTTAGAATCTTCTGGTTATCAGCCATGCGGCTTTCGCGTTTTACGGTGGCACATGCGCAAGACCTACCGTGGCAAGCGATCTGGTCACTCACACAGACCTTCTCAGGTGAGTCGTGAGAAACTTACACGACCGTATTGTGGGAAGGGCGTACGCTGAAGGCTATTCTGAGGCTAGAGCAGAACTCGAGAGGAATTCGAAGAAGTCGCTGTAGAGGAGGAGACTCTTGGTGACAACTTTGAAGAGGTCGCAATTGAAGCAACTGGCAGCAACTCAACAGTTACTTATGGAGAGAACGAGGGCTGAATCAGCAGGAATCACAGCCTTGGTTCAGGATATCGCCTCAGGAGTTGTGCTGGCGTGCCGTTGAGTTTGATCGGTTGAGATATTGCAGCCAAGGAGCACTGTGCCAGCGGAAGGGCTTGAACATGTAGCGCGCTCAGGGGGGCTTGATCCTGTTGAACAGTCAGAGGAACTTGTATCTTTTGAACCAGAGGAACTTGTATCTTTCGAGCAGCCGCAGAAGCTTGTATCTCTTGAGCAGCCGGTCAAGCAGCCAGAGTCAGAGGATCTTGACCCGACTCCGGGTCTATATCAGCTCAAACGCATTTGCAGAGCACATCAAAAAGAGGTGGGAGAAACCACGTCATCTTGAATCTTGGTGATCCTGGACTATCACAACTCTTTGGAATTTTACGGAGAGGGTGGCAAGGCATTGGACCAGCGCCTGACTCCGTGGACAGCGCATATCCGATCCAGCTGTTGGTGGATCCAGAGACCTGCTAGATGCATCAGAGCGCCGCAGGCTTTGGCTCGAAGCCGGGCACCTTTCAGCAGCGTGAGTGTACGGAGTGCAGGAAAAGTTCGAGCTAACGGACAAAATCACGTGCAACAGGATAACCTTAAGCGCTTAGGTAAAGAGAAGGGTGGCGACTCAGCCAGACAAAGGCTAGGATTCATCAATGACGCCGAAAAATCCTCACCATCTTTTCCATCAACTAATAGCCCGGGCGAATCAGGTCTCATGGCTTCTCCGCCTCAAAATACTGGACAGTTCATGGATGCCGCACCCAGTGATCAGTACTCATGCGCGGGGGACCAAACAACATGCAGCAGGCGGAAATTGATGCCTCATCTCAGCACACGGCCCAGCTGAATGCTGCGAATACGGATGTGCACCAACAGCAATGGCCGCGTTAAATGCTCAAAGACAGCAACTTCAGAGGGAAGCCTTGCGTATGTCTTATTCGGCACGGGGCGCAAGAAACCCAACAGGCAGATCATGGTTTGGCCAGGACGCATCAAAAGGCCATGGAAGCCATTCAACGGAGATTGCAGAACTGACAGGGCATTTTCAATTGGCTAAGGGACAGATTGAACACTTGAAAAATGTAGAAGCTCAGCAAGTGCTAGCGCCGGTCCAAGTGTCACCCAGATCTGCAAACAGACCCTGTGGCTTCCCCGCCGCTCCAGTGTGGAACGACCAAGATGCCGATCCCGCCTCCATAACGGCACGGATGCAGCGCCATCGCAGGGGCAAAGAGGGTCGGCTCGCAGCCAGCAGCAGCCGCGACAGGAAGGGGCTAACAGGAAACAGCCCACTGATGAAAGCCAGTCAGAAGATATGCATCACGGGGCTTGGGGTTCATCAAGCGGTTCATCCGCAGCCGGGCACTAGCCCTGGCACGACTATTGAGTTTGAGGGGTCAGTGTACACGCATTGATTAGGGTCACGCGTTGGCATGACTCAAGGTGATGTTCTGGCAAAAAGAGTTGTGTGCTGTTTTGAGGGCGGAAGTGGCAGCAAGTTTCGCAAGAAGCTTCACGCAGATAAGCTCTTTGTGCAGTTCAACACGCACCTTGCAGCCGAACTCATTCAGCCTGATGTCTGGAATTGTTGCATCAGTTCATATGAAGAGAGTTGTGCGTTGAAGGGAGCGGGGCCCAGAGCAGCGCCAATATTGAATTTGATTTACTGTCATTTCTCCATGGGTGCGTCACAAGGGGTCGCATTGAATCAAGGAGCCCTTAACGGGGGACGCCGTAACGTGTTGGATTTCAGGCAGTTTCAGGCAAAAACAAAACAGCCCAACACGGCCTGATAAACCTGCTTTGCTGAGAGGTGTGCGCCAGCCAAAATATCAAAAACCGCTCGAAATTGCCCGGGAAACACCCCGTTTGCGCAAGCCCCCGTTCAGGCCCGCCAAGTTGAACCAAATGCACTTGCTCAAATTGAAATTGGAGCAATCCTTTCACAGTAGGGCGCATCACATCCGCAATCCGCAATGGGCTCAGGCCTGAAGACCGACCAAACAGCAAGACGCTGTTTCATTGGTTGTGGCACGAGGTAAAGAGGGTTCCCTGATTGTCAAGGGTGACAAACAAGGTGCAAGGAAGAGGTGTTTCCACGCGCACGGACTTTTGCCAGGAGATCCGGCACGGTGTCTAGATCCCAGGTGTTTTTCTCGTGAGTCCGTCGAACCGCTGCAATGGCTTCTAAGTCTTTGATCCACTCCTTCTGATCTTTCAGTTCTGTGGCTAAAGCTGGGTTGTCCGGTGGAACGTCCCGACGTGGTGGGAATCCCATCAAGTCTTCCCTTTTTTAAGGTTTATTTATGTGCTCGTTGGCGAGTGCGTCACAGGCGTTGGCGGCACAGGCAACAGCACAGTCGTACTCCCCCCTGACCCTGCATGAGCGGATGGGGGTGTTGTCGCGCCAGGTGGCACTGCTCCAGAAAATATGCAGAGACGGGCAAGGCAGCTGAAGGGGCGTGGAGTGTTTGGGGGGAAAATGCTACGGACCAGGACGGCGCGCTTGCAGTGTACCAATCTTTGTCAGCTCCCCCTTCCCTGATCTCCACAGCCAGCGCAATCATCGTGTTCGGACAGTTTCCAGACGATTCCAGGGGGCGCGACTTCCACAAGAAGTGTGGCCAAAATCTTGGATAGGACACTGCTTGTGGAACTTGTGAAGTCCCTGCATGGGCACCCAGAGGGCGGGGCACACTGGCAAAAGCATCTCGAGGAGGCAGCGCGCAAGTGAAAAAGAAGACAAAGGGGGACAGGGTCGTTGAGGAGACACCATGAGATCGTTGAGACTCCAGCTGGACTTGGGGTAGCCTGAGTACATCCACGCAGCACCAGGGATCACAAAGCAACAAAGACTTACAGGTGCAGCGACTAAGGTTCCATACTTCCAGAAGAGTGGGAGCAGCAGGGACAGCTACAGACACACACATGTGCAATTCTCATGAAATTGTTGTGGGGGGCAAGACAATGCCATAACCTTCTCAAATGATAAAAATGGTGTCGAACGTGTGATAGTAGACTATGTCAGATATGCCAGAAACCAACGGGGCCTGGCTAAGACTGGCAGGGCCCAATTGCACTGCACTTCATGGCCGCTGAGCTGGGCACCAAGAAGCAATCGGCAACCAGCCGAAGCACCACGTAAAGATGTCTGTACATTGGTCCTCGGTCTTCACATGTCAAAGTGTTACGTCCTGCCACTTCTTTTCAAGGTGAGAGGTTAACCTTATAAGATAAACGTCACTATTCACTATCTGATACCATAGTGTCAACATAGGAAGAGCTCGGAGAACAATCTGTAGGCCCAAGCGCCATACGTGGGCCAACGCGATTCCTCTCCTTGGCATATCCACGACCGTCCCAAATTCCGTTGAAGCCAACATGACCGGCTTCCATATGCAAGCAGCGCCGCAGGTACAGACTCAGGTGTGTAGCTCAAAGTGTGAGAATGCTCCTGTTGGAGTTGTGCCAGCAGAGGAGCCGCCTGCCGGTGTCGAGCCTGCCAATCCCATGGGAGAGAGAAAGCCAAAACGAAGAAAGAAATAGTCTTGAGTATAGTAGTGCCAACGCGCAAAGACGGGGGAGTGGAAATATCCGCACTCCTTTGCAATTTGTGCGATGGCAACAACTCATCGCGGGCACAGCATCATGACTTTGCATTTTCACACTTCAGGGAATCGGCAAGACGTAGGGGTCCCATAAGAGGACATGCCTCTTTGGCTCAAGAAAAGCGCGCTCCCCGGGTCGGGTCGAATTTCTTAAAAGGTCCCGGCGAGACTTTTGCAACATTCTTAGCTTGTGAGAGGGATAGGGTCGGGTCCGTCTCGTGCGCCTTGACATTGCCTATCTTGCGCATAACAGCTTGATTCCTGTTGGTACAATCGAACCTGGTCCTTGGAATCAGCACTTCGAGCTCAACGTGCCTGCTGCGGCTCCATTGAGTTCTGGAGCAAGACGCATGCCGAAGAGAGACTTTGCTGCTGGAACGCCCCACAAGCATCGGAGGATTTCTGTCCTCTATTTTCTCATGTTCGCCCCCCACTCCTCGTGCCCTGCCCCGTCCGGCACGGCTCCAGCTTTCCTGTGCGAGCTT